AATTCAATTAGCATCACTATATCATTCTAATACAGCGGGAAGTTCACTACGTAGGATGCCATAGTTGTTCCTTGAAAGGTGAAGGCTAGGTCTTGAGCGCTTCATATCACTAGGGATTACACAACTTATGAATACGCTTGCACAAAGACATCCTTAAAACTTGCAAGCACGTTAGTGGATGCACGGAAATGCCAATTTAAAGTTTAAAGCAATAAACACACAACATGTCGACATATAAGCTAATATTTATAAATTCACCAAACAAGAGAGAAACTATTCACGCAATTTTCAGTTTGTGATGCTTACATAACTACACCTTTTGGACTGCATCACGGAGGACATCCAGCATGAAGACATACATAACAGCCCAAATTTCACATGACAAATGATGCTCAAAGATACTAAGGTGACTAGAATTAACTTTTCGACAATACTGCATCATGAGCAATCAGGACAATACCCACATGGGCTGGACACCGTTATAATTCTTTCCCGAAGAGAGATAACAGTGAAAGTCTGACGAACACAGTCGACACATCACATTCAAAATGAACTCAAAATTACTTCTAAACATGCTTAAAAAACAGGGAAATCAACAATACATTGAGCCCTAGCCGTGAACAAGTGAAAGAACAACCATACTGGACCAAATTCATCCATATTCATACCGAGAAGACAACATAATAAAGCATGAAGGGCGTAAAGGCACGCTTGAGCTATTCATGACATCAAATTGACTCAAAAACTAAGATCAATGAGTTCACGTCAATTTCCCGAAACAAGGTAAACAAGAAAAAGAACATGATCCCGTTAACAATAGCATCATTACGGTGGAGATCAACTCAAGCTCGCAGACATACTTATTGTCTTACCTACAGAAATAAATTCTTCACGGATACTAGAAGTCGTTGACAGTCTGATGGTAAGAATTTGAAACCATTTTTATTGTCATCTTATAAAGTACAATTTACTCACAAAAATCCAGTGTTTCCGTCTTTTCTCAATTACTAAAGAATAAACTGGGGTCACTACAGAATGACTAATATCAAGTGGCCAACCAAATAATACAATTGGAGCAATCAAGTTGCAATGAACAAAATATCTAACCCATCTAATCAAACCAACAAACGAAACCGCGCATCATTGATCCACAAAAATTGCCAGATTAAACCAAGAATCAAAACCCTATCTTAATTTCTTTCAAATGACTGTTATGTGCTCATTTGCACATCCTCTTGTACGCAAAGTGCAATGACACAAAACAAGAACCAATCCCCTAAAAACTTACGAAAATTTCGTCAAACCACCACTGATTCACAAACTAAAACTTCTCATCACACCAGGATCTCAAGGAAGCGAAACGATCTGAAAAGTTTCAGATTGAATGCCACAATACGTTCAACGCACATTAGATTTAAACCATCCAAACACGCATAGCCCAATCAGCCTCGGAAACACAGGATCACGCACACTCAATCGAACAATTCAAAGATGAAAACGAAGAGGCATCGTTAATCAAACTGGAGCATTGCATTTCGAGGATGAAATCGGGATTCACCAAAATTCACCCGATAAATCAGCTAGAACACAATCTCACAAGCATTCTCAAAGACTGCTTCCAAATCAAATATCACTCAAAGACGACAACATTATTTCTCGCAAATTGGAACACTTCACAGCCATAGAAAAGGGTTTATTTCAAGTTTCCCATGAGAAAGAGGAGGAGTGCATACCTGGTTCTGGTCGATGACATCATCGAACACGACAAGCTTACCATAGTTGGTGAGAGCGACCCTTTTAATCTCTACGTATCTTGAAAGGCATTTTTGCTTATGTTGAATGCTCGGTAATGTCCCACGACAACCGCCCACGAATATGCCATTATTGTCCTTCACCATCTCTAATTCCACGCTCAATTCTAAAAGCGGTGGCAGCAGCGGCACTTCCAGGTGAGATCTGTAAGGCTTTATCCTTAAGATTGTTGGAAATATTGTTAGATAACATGAAAAATGAGAATACTTGTGGGAATTCTATTGAAAAAGATGAGAAAATAATATCAATGTCTGAGGCATGAAAGTCACTGTCCTTAAGGATAATTCCGCCTCTCAGAGTACGAAACTCGGTGCATAAGGCTCTAGCGGCTATTCTCTCAAGATACAATAGACCTTCTTCTATACTCCGTACTGAATTTTAGAAGGAAACAGGAACAACATTATGTATATAACCCAGCAAAGAAAGGAAAGATAGATAAAAGAATGAATAAATAATATTTTTGTTCTGATATGTATATATATATCTATCACTTTCCAATTATGCTCAAAGTAACAATTTATAGGTGCTAGAAAGAGAGCCGTTAAAAACCATTGTAAAATAGTAGAGGGTTTAAGAACAATTAAATCATACGTTACAACGCCGTTAGAAAGCCGTTATACGGCCGTTGCAAAACTATTACAAAATAATGGCTTTATGGCCATCATAAATTATAATAAATATTTCAAAACTGCTGATGTGACATTCCGAATTTCAGCTCATTTTTGGAATTTATAAAACGTGTATTTCGTCAGTGCGCTTATAATAAAATCTCGCCCGGAACTGATCATTCTTGGGTTATTTTTTTTTTAATTAGAGATTTCGCTAGAATCGCACTCGATCGAATTTGGCCGTTATTTAGAGCCCGAACTTTGGTGTCGAATTTCTCGGAATTTCGTGACGAATTTAATTGGACGGTGTTGATATTATTATGGCCAGCCTCGATATTGGCCGAGATAAGTGAAAAGTGAAATTTTGACCGGGTGCGGATTTGGACTAGTAGACCTTCCTCGTAGTGTGTTTTATTTAATATCTTTTGGCCATTTTTCCTAATTTATAATTGGGGTTATTCGTGGGCTGTTGGATCGTTTTCGGATTTGAACGAGGACCGTCGGATCGCACTCAAGGACAAAATTTGACTTTTGTCCCCCCCCCTCTCTCTCTCTCTCTCTTCCCGGTCACCTCCCCACTGCGCACGTCTACCCCCTCTTCTTCCCCATGCACGTCCACTCCTCTCTCTCTCTCTCTCTTCTTCTTCTTTCTTTCTTCTTTCTTTTCCTTTTCTTCTTCTCTTCTTCTTCGTCCCTTCCCCTTCACCACTGCTGCTTCTGCTTCTTCTCCTTGCTGCCCAACGCCGACCACCGCTCGCCAGAGACTAGCCCAGCCACCGCCCGCCGTCCTCCTTACGCCGCCGTCGCCCTGACCGAGCAACGCCGCCGCTCGTCACCCGCGACCACGACCGCCTGTCGCCGGCCTGCCCGCGCTGCACGTGAGCAGTAGCTCGCCGCCGCGGCCAGGCTCCGCCGAGCCGCTGCCAGCTCGTCCGGCCACTTGCTTGGCTCCGCCGCCCCGCCAGCCGCCACGCCGTGTCGCCCCCGACCACCGCCGACTCGCCCCCTCAGCCCCAACTCCCCCTCTCTCGCCACCACCGCCCCAGCTTCCTCCCCCTCCCCTTCCGCCTCATCACCGTCGTCGCCGCCGCCGCCGCTGCTGTCGCTTGGCAGCTCGTGTGGTCGAGCCCGTCGTTGTCGCCAGTCGCTCGCCAAGCTCGCCTAGCCGCTACCTGATGCCTCGCCCGTCCAGGCCGACCCTCATGCCCGGCACCTCGCCCATCCAAGCCAGCCGCCCGCCCATCCAGCCAGCCGCTTGCCCGACCGTGCCGCTTGGTCGCCCACTCGCCCGGCCCGTCGCTCGTCCGTGCCCAGCTCGCCCGACGCCTGGCCGAGCGTCGTACCGAGGGCTGTACCGAGACTGCCGGCCACCGCGCCTATCGCGCCCTCCCCCACGCCGAGTCGTCAATGTTCACCCGAGCCATTTTGGGCCCGTGCGGGTTTTTCCCGGGCCAAATTTAGGTAAGTGACTTCCTATACCATACCTAGTATAATGGGTATTATTTAGACTTGTTTAGGGTATGATTAGTACCGATTTAGTGGCTAAGTTAGGATTAGGATCAATATGTGAATGTGGTTAATTGGTAAATTGAATTGTGATGATTATGTGGCTGATTTATGTGGGTGCGATGACCAGATTGTCGTGGCGCTTGTGGGTGAAATGGACGTTTGATTAGGCCGACTTGAGTGTTGGATTGGCGGGTTAGTGTGGTGAATTTGTGATTTTAATGTGAACTGTATAATGTGTTAGATGGCAAATTGTGTTGTGGTGCATGTGCATGAGGAATGTCCTGAGGCGTGGTTACGCGGGACTAAGACCGGATTGATTGGAGGGCTGACCTGAAGCGTGTTTACGCGGGTTGTGAGAAAGTGTGAAATGTCCAGTGAGGGACGGAGCCCGGATTGATCGGAGGGCTGCCTACTTGAGGCGTGGTTACGCGGGTGTGGCTAGAAAAGCAAGAAATGACCTGATGCGTGGTTACGCGAGTCGAGAGAAATTTCTTGAGGCGTGGTTACGCGAGACTAAGCTCAGATTGATCGGAGGGCTGACCTGAGGCGTGTTTACGCGGGTCGTGAGAAAATGTGAAATGTCCAGTGAGGGACAGAGCCCGGATTGATCGGAGGGCTGGCCTGAGGCTTGTTGACGCGAGTCGTGGAAAGTTGGCTCGACACGCATGTAGAATGTGCTTGATTGAATTGGGTGAACGCACGTGAGTATGGTGCTTGTATGATTTTGATATGTTCATGTGATTTTATTGCATTATAGTGACTTGACTGTTATGCAGAGTTGGCATGTAGTTCGAGGCGAGGTAAGTATGTTGTGTGAAATTGATTGTGTTGGTTGTTAGATCGCATGTTAGACTCGTCTGGGTACGCATTAGCCTAGGTGGGGTATAGGTTGTCTGCTTATTGATATTTATTATCATTGCTGTAATGCAAACCATTTCAGACCCCCGATCCCGACCATGAGTGATCCGCCTGAACGTTTTGGGATCTCGAGGCATACTGAGCACTCGACGGTGGAGTACCCTGTAGGGAACGGGGAGGCCTATGTTAAGCATACCACAGTGGTGTGGGTAGATGTGGGTAAAACCAGAGTTGCAACCCAATACATACCGGGCATACTGTTATCGGGATTTATACAGAGCCTATGGACCGCTCCGGCATTTTGATGTCCCGTTTAATGGGGGAGGCGAGTGGGACCCCTCAGCTGTCCTTGCCCCCGATGGTGAGGTTTTGGATGCCGGAGACGCCCCAGTAAACCCTAGTCCTGAACCGGAGCCCGAACCCAAACCTGTGGCCCCTGCAGACCTCGAGCTTGAAGAGGAGTTTGAGGAGTCCGAACCCGAGCCCGAGGAGGAACCCATGGAGCCCGAGATCGAGGAAGAATTCGAAGAACCAAAGCCCGAGTCCGAGCCTGAGGAGGAGCCTATGGTGTCCGAGCACGAGGAGGAGCCGATCGAGATCGACTCGGACACGGAGTCGGAGCCTTCAGGGTCTGATTCAGATTGGGTACCGTAGGAAGATTTGGGTGCTGGGGCCTAGGAGCTTTTTGGTAGGGCCTTTTTGTGTATTCCGTAGTCTACCCGGCCACCTGTTCCTTTTTTATGACGAAGGTGGATACTAACCCTAGAAGCCTAAGGTATGAATTTTATGGTCTCAAGCTAATGTGATGAGTTTATTGATTTGTGCAAGTACTACCCCTTTTGTCATTATTAATTGTCTGGGTTGTTTATTTTTGCTTCTGCTTGCGTTCGTCTTCGTGTGTTTCGTTTGGGTCGGCGACGCATCCTGGGACGTCGCGTTCAATACGACCTTCGAGAGGTGTCGCGAGCCCGTTGGGGTTCGGGGCGTAACAGCTAAAATATCCAACATGCTAAGCTTCGTCGAACTTAACCACGGCCATTCAAACTTTGTCTAGCTCAACCATTGCCAATTGAGTTTCATCGAACTCGCACAACAGCGGTTGAAGTTTCTTCAAGCTCGTGGCCATGCCAGAATGAGCTTTGTTAAGCTCAAAGCCATGGCCAATTGAGATTTTGAATTGGTGGGGATGTTAATTTTTGTGGGTATTCGTTTGGATTAGGGGGGAGTTTAAGTTGAAGAAGATGATGGCGATAATAATTGGAGAGATATAGAGTATTGAGAAAAAGAACAAATTAAATTCATGTCAACATATTTCTAACAACGTTAATTCACATCATGAAATTTCTAAACAGCATTAATGTAAAAAAAAATTTGCACCGAACCTGTTAAGGTGACCGGTAACACTTTTTTAAATCTATAAGAACGGTTTTGAAGAAAAATGAAGTAGTGCCGTATAGAACTCTCGGTCAGGATTGCCATACGATAAACGAAGAGGTTGTCAATTGTCAATCCGCAAGAAAGATTTCAAGACATCACAAAATGATGTGCTTCCCAACAGATCTGACTTTGGATGTCTCCCTCGATCTAAGTACGTACAAACACATGTATATTAATAATAGAAAAGCAGCGTCATGCGTTTTAAATTAACGAAATAAAATAATATGTAAAAGATTTCAATGCCAATCATCTTAATATGGCAAAACACGATTTTCTCAAACTATAGTCATGTACGGTCCTATTGTACCATAAAAAAATGCGCGGATTTTTTATGATTTCTTTTTTTTTTTGTAAATATTTGCGATTGAAGTGCCCACTAAATTTAACTTAGTTACTAGGATAGATATAAGTATAACATGACCAAAGATCAGTAACTCAATATTTGATTGGAGGAGGGAAGAAAAGAAGATAATTCCCAATTGAATTATAAATGATAGATTACAGAGTGATTAAAAAACCAAGTAGCCACGGCCACCACACAACATCATAGGCAAACTAGATTACCGTGGGACCCATCATATCCACAGAATTCAATTTCTGCCGGAACTTGCAGTTACTGATATAGCAAAGAAAAAAAAAGCAAAAATATCAGTAAAATAAATTAAATTAGGAAAAAAAAACTTCTTCTGCCGGATCATGACAATGAAGTGTCGCTCATTACAGGTGCCGAGCGCGAATGCGATCGCCTCTTCGCGAACTGGGCCGATCGAGAAGTCGTTCCTTCACGGCCAGGTCTTGCAATTGCTGAACCATGCGAAGCGAGACCTCTCGCCTCTTCGTGGGGAAGGCGAGACCTCTCGAGCTCAGAGCTCTAGCTTCAGGCCCGCACGGCTGTTCCGCTAATTATTATCTCTTGCCCCTTTGCTCTTTTACCTGAAAACTTTACCCAATACGGATGAGATTCACTTTTCTTTTCCCTTTTTTTTTATCTTTTATGATTGATTGTTTAATTTATTGCTTAGGAACTTATACATGAACAAATCGTTTTGCATGTTTAGAGACAAACTCGGAAAGAATCGCATGAAATAACACTTTTGTTAAAAGAAAAAAATGTAACGAGCTTTAGGTAAAACTATACTAATCAAATTCCGAAACCCGAAATGTCTAATCTCCCATCTTACTAGACTCTTGATAGGCCCAAAATAGGTTAGTGATGGATCTAAACCTAAATTTAATTAAACAATGAATGAGAAACTAAGTTGCGGTTGGTAGGGTTCACTTTTCTTTTCCATTTTTTTTATCTTGTATGATTGATTGTTTAATTTATTGCTGAAGCACTTATACATGACATGTCGTTTGCATGTTTAGAGATAAACTCGGAAAGAATCTCATGAAATAACACTTTCGTTAAAAGAAAAAATGTAACGGGCTTTAGGTAAAACTATACTAATCAAGTTCTGAAACCTGAAATGTCTAGTTTCCCATCTTACTAGGCTCTTGATAGGCCCAAAATAGGTTAGGGATGGATCTAAATCTAAATTTAATTAAACAATGAATGAGAAGCTAAGTTGCGACGGGTGGGTCATGGGAGAGCCCGTACCTAATGCAAGCAACACCTTGCAAGAGGATTATTCGCGCTTGCCTAACAATTTGTTAAATTCTCTTGGGTTTCATTTTGGAAGGTTCGCAGCTAACCAAGCTTTTCGTCATCCTCGGTTTTCCTCCGACCACATCTAGACTACAATTTTATGGGCATCACCCATATTTATTTTTTTAAGAGGGTAAGTGACTCACCAATCGGAGGCATGGATATACTATGATATGAGTAGACTTATAATCAGTATATGGTGCTAAATCAAGAACTATTCAGTGTAATATAAGGATGGACGAAGAAGTACCCTTTAGTAGGTCAGATATAGGTTTGCCCATTGCATTTTTTGATTCATCAATCTATCTATGGAAAATGGAAAAAAGTTCGGATTTTTTCTTTTGTAATTGGGTCCATCATGTCATTGCCTTCTTAAATTTGTCTAATAAAAGAAGAAGCGGCCATGAGAAGCAGGATTATCGCAAAGCCCTCACCAAAAATAGTTATTTTAACCGCATGTTATCTCCATGCCCTTATAGTTAGGGGTGTGCAAAAAACCCAGGACCGCCCAGGACCGCCCAGGACCGCCCGGGACCGGACCGGAACCGGTGGTTCCCAAGGGGACCGGTCCGGTTCCCGGTTCCAATTTTTTGGAACCGGTGGGTATCGGTCCGGTTCCCGGTTCCCGATGTGGAACCGCCCACCCGCTCACCCGGACCGGACCGGTAATATAATAATAATATATTTATTTTTTAAAATTTTAATTAAAAAAATCTGACCAAAAAAAAAAAAAAAAAAAAAAAAACGTAACTAGACACTCATAACTCTCTGCTCTCTTATCTCTGGACACTCATTTGATGGGTACCCACTTGATTTATGGATGATGTGGTTAATAGAACCGATCATAGTATAGGAATTGTATGGAAAGTTGTGTTCTTTTCTTTTTGTTCCGTTAATCCGATGTTGGTCCACATATTTTTTTTTTTTTATCTAGGAAAACTTGGTGGGACCGGTTCCATGGACCCGCCCGGGAACCGGACCGGTCCGGTCCGGTTCCCGGGCGGGTCCATGGAACCGACGGGTGGTCCTCGGTCCCAAAATTGAGGACCAACACTGTGCGGGTTGGTCCTAGGGTTAGGGGGTGGACCGGCCCAACCCGGACCATGCTCACCCCTACTTATAGTATGTAATATGAGATCTATACGCCCTTCAGATTACCATAAAAATTTCAATATGTTACGTATAGCTGGAGCCAATTAAGAAAAATAAATCTGGATGGAGGAGGGCTCAGTAGTATAAAAATAAAAGTAAATCCATGATATTACTTGATCCTCACAAGAAAAAAAGAAAAGAATAACCTCTTTTTTCACCAATTTATATTCTTTAAATTCACCCAAGAGAAACTTATCAAGTGGAATCTTGACGGGATTGATAAATTTGATTAAGATTATTCCACACTAGTATATTGTTGGCCGATATTATTGAAAAAAAATCTCAAATTTGTTATGGACGATATGGATGCAATTGAGAGAATGTGAACAGCGGAATAGAATCTAATATTTCATCTTCCAATGGGATGTACATGTAGGCTAATAACATAAGTTTCTTGATTGACATTGAGAAAAACTAGGAAAACCGAACAACCGATGTAGAATGCTTTACATCTGTCAGCTGAACTTGACTCTAATACTAGGGTCCAGGTAGAGACCAAAGATCTTCAGCGATCACAAATCTAATTGGAAGCATTTTCTCTCCCTTGAGTCTATCTTCTGATCATGGACTTTCAATACCATAGTGATCGGGGGGTAGTTTGGCCCTGTTCTTTTCCCCTTCCTTCTCATAGGAAGATGATGGGCGAGTCCTAATTCACAGATGAAGGGACATAAGAATGTGAAAATGATAAGAGAGATCCCAAAATATCCATTCCCTGTACACCCATTTCTTGGATAATTTCGTTTTTCTGCATTGAAAATTGAAAAAAAAAAAAGCATTATATCAATTGCTGCGAAATAGAATGATGATGGATTGTAGAGAGAAGATTCATAGTTTTTACCATGAATCTAAAGCTACTGAAAAATTGCTGATCCGATTGCTTCGTCGGTTGAGCAATTGAGATTTGTATTAAGTTCATACTCAAGAAGTTAATTGAGATTAATATAAGTTCGTAACATCGTGAGTGACGCGATGAGGTTTCAAGAGAGAACATTTCCTTAGACATAACACATTTGATATCTAAGGTTCCTAAGTGCTATAGCTTATATAGGTAAAGAATGAGTAATTGTCGTAAAGACAATGGATATTTTTCATATTTTACATTAAACACATTACTATATAATAAAGATGCAATAAAAAGTTAGTGGTGTATTTCATGGTATTTGGGATTTACATACTTAAAAAGACTTTGTTACCATAATAAAAAAAATGTACAAGACATCGGATGTGCAAAGCATCAATAATGGAAGACAATATAGGCGGAATGGGCAATTGGTAATTGCCATTAAGGCTAGGGATAGATCGAACTCCAGCATTTAAGAAAAGGCCATTTTGAAAAGATATATATTGGATTTTGGTAGAATATTTTGCTTTTCTTCGGCTGGTATTATAAGGTTTCTCCTAAAATGAATAACTAATGTTCATGTGCCAGCTAATGGTTTCAAGATGGAAAATAATCTTTCAAATCCTAAAATTAAGACATCATTATGTTAAAAAAATTTGGAGAATTTGGTTAGGATATTTTTGCTTAATATATCCAATTTTGTTGGAATTTTTTTTTTGTTTTTTACTTTATCCAATTTTTGCTCATTACCATGCCCGCTAAGCTTCGTTGAACTCGACTATGCCTATTCAAGCTTTGTTAAGCTCAACCATTACTAATTGAGTTTCATCAGACTTGCACAACATCAAATGGAGTTTCTTCGAGCTTACGGCCATGCCCTGATGAGCTTCATCCAACACGACCATGGCGGCTGGATCTTTTTTTAAGCTCGCCGCCATGGCCATATAGGATTTTGCATTGGTGGGGATGGTAAATTTGTGGGTATCCGTTTGAATTTGGTGGTGTTTAAGTTGAAGAAGAAGAAGAGGAGGAAGAAGATGATGATAGTTGGAGAGAGAGCACTGAAAAAACAACAAAATAAATTCAAGTCGACAAATTTCTAACGACACTAACCATGTCATGATATTTCGAATGGCCTCAATGTCAACAAATTCCGTCATTGGACCGACCAAAGATGACCGGCAACACTTCTTAAAAAGTACATAGACGGTTTTGAAAAAAAATTGAAGTAGGGTCGTATAGCACTCTCCTTCTAGGTTGCCAAACGATAAACAAAGAGGTTGACCATTGTCGATCCACTAGAAAGATTCCGAGACATCACAAGATGATGTGCTTCACAATGGATCTAACTTTGGAACTCTCACTCGATCTACATACGTGTAAACACATGTATATTTATATTAGAACAGGAGCGTCATGCTTTTTAAATTAATGAAATAAAATAATACGTAAAAAATTTGGATGCCAATCATCTTAATTATCGCAAAACACAATTTTGTCCATCTATAGTAATGTGCGGTCATATCTTATCACAAAAAAATGCACGGATTTCTTATGATTTGGTTTTTTGTAAATTTTGCGATTGAAGTGCCCACTAAATTTACCTTAATTGCTAGTATAGATATAAGTATATAATATGACGAAAGATCAGTAACTTAATATATAATTGGAGGAGAGAAGAAAAGAAGATAATTCCCAATTGAATTATAAATAATAGATTGGATTAATATCACGAAAAACCCCAAACTGGTACACTTATAACAATTTTAACCCAAACTAATTTTTTTACCATAAAAAACCCTAAACTAATACACCTGTGACAAATTTACCCAAAACTAATATTTTGACCACTAAAAACCCCAAACTGGTATATTTGTGATAAATTTACCCTCTACTAGTTTCCGTTAAATTGAATTAATAACACAAAAAATCACAAACCGGTACACCTGTGACAAACGGATGGGAAAACATAAAATTGGCACATCAGTTAACTGCCGGGTGTCATTTAACAAAGCAATTTGACTGAAAATTTTAACAGAAACAAACTGACGGTAAATTTATCATAGGTTCACCAGTTTGGAGTTTTTAACCGTCAAAAAATTAGTTTGGGGTAATATTGTCAGAAGTATACCAGTTTGAGATTTTTCATAGTATTAACCGTAATAGATTAGAGAGGGAAAAAAACGAGCAGCTACGGCCACCACACGACATCATATGCAACATGTGGCGCCCCAGGCACGCCACCTTACTAATGTGGTT